CACGGCAGATCAGTGGTGATCTATCCACCTCTTGAACAACTGAGGCCTGAACTAGTAATCAGAAGGTCATTAGTTTGATTTCAATTTGAAGTACTTCGATTTCCTAGTTTTCTGAGTCACCCGGGTCACTGACTGTAAAATCATTTTTCGGAGTCAAGTTTGAATTGCTTTGAGAACCAGGTACTTATCATCACTTTTCAATTAAGAATCGATGTGTATGGAGTTATGGACGCACGTGGAAAGCTTCTTAATTGCACCCTGAACTCCCCTTCTGAGCTCTTTTGCATCCTTAAACGTCCCTAGTGCACCCATAACTCGATAAACGCACACCTAAAGAAATCAACCAAGTTCTTTGTAACATAGTTTGACCAAAAAAAGTTTGATTTGTAATGTCCAACTTGTTGTGTACATTGTTGAAGTATTCGTAACTTCCCACCTCGGAACGCCGGTTTGCTTAAACATATCTGTGAATATTTTTTGGCCATGCAATGTACCCTACATAAGTCAAATTTTTAGAGAGATGTCAGAAACGAACGTAAAACATGAGAAGGAAACGATCCAATTGGAAGTTCCCTTCTCGGGGCTGGGGATGGGGGGTACTCCTGGGAATTATTGGTGGGAATGTGCCGCCAGGTTCTCCAAATCCTGACCATATTTCAGACCAAAAAATTAATTAATTTCCCACACCCGTTTTCAGTCCTGGCCTTTAGGCAGAAATTATGTTATCATTACTTAGATTAGGGAGCAAACAAAACAATTCTTGAAATCCACTTCGAATTCGCATATTTCTCTTTCGTTCTTACTCATTTGGAACTGAAACGATAAATACGTTCATACCCTGGAATGTGGCTTTAGATATTCTCGCCACTGTCCTTCAAACAAAAAAAAAACTGGAGAAAAAAAGATATAAAGGATGTAACAGAATGATCATAAGGCGTTATTTGTCATATTAAACACGTAATTTTAGTAATTCGACCGGTTCATGAGCCAATATATCTAACGTACCACCAGCAGCAAGTTACTAAAGCTATTTGGAATACAAAAGCCTTATCAAGTAAGGGCCCATGGATAAGGCAAAGGATAAGGATCCTTTAAGTTCGTAAGGGAAAGGAAAAAATGCGTCGTAAAAACATGAGAAAAAGCATAACAGAATGCTTCAGATAGTGTTACATGCTGTACTACTAGTGATATCTGGGTGGGCTTATTTCACTATTTTTTCCCTGTGTACTTTACTACATTGCCATTTGTTATTGGTTGACACAACTTCAATGTATTTTTAAGCAAAAACATAAATACACTATCCGCAATTTTCATTTTTTTGAATGATATTTTAGGATGAATCTACACCGCTATGGGGTACCTCTACTGATGGTGTTCTGGACAAAAAATGCATAGGAAGGTTGTCAGTAAAAAGTAGCTTATAAGCGTATTAAGCGTATAAACTGACAATTTTTTTTGCCCCGAGGTCCTTATAACACAAGATAAGACGTGTTGTTCGAGCTAACTGTTTTTCTAATATATAATATCGGGAAATATCCCGTTTATTACGTTTCCCCACTTTCGCAGAAAGTCAATCGGTATTGACTAGCAATTCTGCTTGTCGCATAATAACTTGCGCCACAATAAAATTCTCCAATAATTTTGATAGTCAATATTAACTGTAAAGCCCGATACACACGAGGGGTTTTGCTCCCGGAGCATGCTCCAGGCTCATTTTGCACGTGTCAGTACACACGAGGGAGCGTTTTCAAGTTCGCTCAATTTGCCCTGGGAGCTTGCTCCCGAGGATGAAGTATACCCATGAAATTGTTGGTACACACGGAGGAGCTTTGCTCCCGGAACGTGCCCCTGGAGCATGCTCCGGGAGCAAAATCCCTCGTGAGTATCGCCCTTAATGATAACTGTAATGACAGAATATTGATCAGTCTGTAGATTATCATAACTTGAAAAGTAGGTTGAGTGTGATCTTCCGGGTGAACGTAGTCCCGAATACGACTGTTGTTGTTGACAGTGACTAACGTTTCGACAACCTGTGCGGTAGTCATCTTCAGAGTCAAAGTGAGTCGTATCACGTCAGTAGATGGTATTATACTCTGGTTATTGATCTGATTGGTCAATTACGTCGCGATGTTATTGGTCGTCTGTTATTGGCTATGAAGACTCGTAATCAGAAATTGGTGCGTTTCGATCCGTCTGTTGTCACAGTTAAACAGTCGTTTATTGTTAGTCAAATTGTCAGTTCTCCAGTCGTTCTCTCGTAGTTAGTTTTGCTTGATCTCGTCAATAAGTCGTTTGTACGGCGCTGGTAACTGTTGGCTATGATTCAGTGGCGTTTGTTCTAAGTTAGTAAACCAGCTTTCTAAAGTAAGACGTTGATAGTAGTCTGTAGAATACGTTATACATGTCGCAGAGTCCCAGTCAATTTGATGTTTCGTCTTTAAATAGTGCTCAGCAATGTGATTGTTGACGTCACCATTCCTCGTCGCGCGTTTGTGTTCGGTGAGTCGCGTGCTTAGGTTTCTGCCGGTTTAACCAATGTAAGAAGCCTGGCAGTCTCAGCATTTCATCTTTTATACTGCTCCCTGTCTGTCCTCCGGTTTGTCTTTGTCCTTGACATTAGTAAGCTGTCGGCGTAAAGTGGTTATCTGTTTGTGTGCAACACGTATATTGTAAGGTTGTGATATACCTGTAATAGTTTCAGAGGTGCCTCTGATGTACGGTATAGTCGCTGTCGTAACAGGGCCAGAGTTGGTCTGAGTGTTGGAATCAGTGTTACTGTGAGTGTTCCGTCTAACAAAGTCCGTGTTGTAGTTGTTCTTCTGTGTTCTTACTAAAAATGTTGTTAAGATAATCAGTCTCGTCTTGTAGACTGTCAGGTGAGTCGCAAACTAGTTGCACTCATCTCGTCAGAGTCCGGATAGTAGTAGCCTTGTGAGAGGTCGGGTTATACGAAGACTGGTCTAGTAATCGGTCGGTATGTGTCGGTTTTCTGTAAATAGTCGTTTTTAGTTTGTTGCTGTCGCGAGTGACCAAGCAGTCTAGAAAAGGTATCTTACCATTTTCTTCGATCTCCCTTGTGAACTGTATGTCCGCGTTCTGTCAGTTAAGGTGTTCGTGATAATCGTCGATTCCGTCGTTGTATACGGCGGTGAATGTGTCGTCAACGTAACGTAACCAAAGAGGTACAGTTCGCGTGTAGGTAGCTAGGGCTTGTTCCTCGATGTTTTGCATGACAATTTCTGCTACAACAACAGAAACTGGGGAGCCCATAGCTGTACCGTGTAACTGTTTGTAGTGTTTGCCGTTGTACTGAAAGTACGTCGAAGTCAAACAGAGGTTGAGAAGGTCCATAATGTCGTCTGTACTGAGGTAGTGGTAGTTCCACAGCAGAGTTCTTAATAGCGAACTCAGTACAGTCTAGAGCCAGTTGAAGTGGAATACTGGTGAATAGCGATTTCACGTCAAAGGACACTAGTTTGTGGTCGTCCGGTATCTGTATTGTCTTAATGGCGTCAATAAAGTTCCCAGTAGACTGTAGTTTGTGTCTAGATTCGTCAGTCAGCGGTTTCAGTACGTTAGTTAAGTATTTAGACAGTTGGTAGGTTGGGGACCCACAGAAAGAAACTATGGGCCGCATAGGTATGTTGGGTTTGTACCACTACCTGCAGACGACATTATGGACCTACTCAACCTCACCTGACAGCCTACAAGACGAGACTGATTATCTTAACAACGTTTTTAGTAAGAACAACTACAACACGGACTTTGTTAGACGGAACACTCACAGTAACACTGATTCCAACGCTCAGACCAACTCTGGCCCTGTTGCGACAGCGAATATACCGTACATCAGAGGCACCTCTGAAACTATTACAGGTATATCACAACCTTACAATATACGTGTTGCACACAAACAGATAACCACTTTACGCCGACAGCTTACTAATGTCAAGGACAAAGACAAACCGGAGGACAGACAGGGAGCAGTATACAAGATCAAATGCTGCGACTGCCAGGCTTCTTACATTGGTGAAACCGGCAGAAACCTAAGCACGCGACTGACCGAACACAAACGCGCGACGAGGAATGGCGACGTCAACAATCACATTGCTGAGCACTATTTAAAGACGAAACATCAAATTGACTGGGACTCTGCGACATGTATAACGTATTCTACAGACTACTATCAACGCCTTACTTTAGAAAGCTGGTTTACTAACTTAGAACAAACGTTACCGAATCGTAGCCAACGGTTACCAGCGCCGTACAAACGACTTATTGACGAGATCAAGCAAAACTAACTACGTGAGAACGGCTGGAGAACTGACAATTTGACTAACAATAGACGACCGTTTAACTGTGACAATAGACGGATCGAAACGCACCAATTACTGATTACGAGTCTTCATAGCCAATGACATCACGGCTTAACTGACAGACGACCAATAACATCGCGACCTAATTGACCAATCAGATCAATAACCAGAGTATAATACCATATACTGACGTGATACAACTCACTTTGACTCTAAAGATGACTACCGCACAGGTTGTCGAAACGTCAGTCACTGTCAACAACAACAGTCCAATTCAGGACTACGTTCACCCGGACGATCAAACTCAACCTACTTTTGAAATGACTCCTGGGTTCAAACCTTTCACAGTTTTACTATCATAACTTGGTTAGTCATTACATCTAATTTAGTGAAACAAAATGAATTAGCCCCTCTCCTGGGACTCCCCCACTTTGTCTTAACGGATACGTGCGCGCCGCTGAAAATAGTATGACTGGTTCTTGAGTCAGGTTAAAATATTTTAGTATTAGCATCTTAAAACGTCTTAAAAACTAGAAGTGTTTTAAAAAGTGTGAAGAAACAAAAAAAAAAGATTAAATCAGTCGGGAAAAAATTAACTTCTGTAAAAGTGTGCTTTGGTAGCACACTTCTACCAAAACTTCTATTGACCGCCTCTCCCCCCCGCCCCGACTACTGACAGAGATTGTAAAGGTACCAGGAAAAAGTCTGTATTTCAGTACGATTGGACTTGGTAAGCAAAGCATTGAAAAAACAAATTGTCTTTCAGTCTAATTCACCATTTCCATACTTGTTGTGCCATTTTTTGATTCGAATATTCGATTTGTGTAATTCCGCGCCAAAGGCGCGCGTGCGCGACTATATTTTCCAGCCACATATTTTTTGTATTTTATAGTCCGAATTGCTCGAGCTCCTTCCTTGTTTTTTTGTGAATATCACGAAAGATAAATCCCCTTAACGCAAAAACGTTCAGCTATTTTAGCGAATGAGCATGTATATTTCTATTTACTTGCTTATCTGTCGTAGAAACTGCTAAAAAACTGGAAAAAAATACCGAATGTTGGGTGGTAAAATGATCATGAAGGAATGAAGGTTTTGAAGGTAAGAAATGAAGGGGAAGAGCAAAACTCCCGAATAAAACAGCTAGATAGTTTTAAAGAAAGCTAGATACAAAAAAGGAGACTCGACGAGAAAACTCTCGCATAGTTAGCAAGCCAAGTCTCGAAAGGGTCATGAAAAGCTGTTTAAAATGTTTAAAATTAGAGGCCCCTAAGATGGCAAAAGAAAACCTTTGCTTAGTGTGCCAAGTAACGCCAAGCTCGTCTCAAGTTTTATACTGAAGTACAAAACCTTGCTGTGGAAGGAAGCCGGGATGATTATCTTTTTCGGATGAATGCCCAAAATCTATTTATTTCCAGCTGCCTAAACTAAACAAATATTGGTCGGGGGGTTGAACTAGCTCTTGCGCACCAGATGATAAAAAAGCTCAAAATGGATCATCTGTGGGTCTACACGCTGTATCCCACTTCGTGCCGCAACGGCTACAGAATGTGATAAAAAAATCAAAAAGGGCATGCCAGTTACTGAAATTCTCAATACATGTACTCAATAGAAAAATAAACATCTTCTAGCAATAAAACAAAGTTTTGATCAAAAGTTATGGTGCATGAATTTAGAGGAACTAACTTCTGGGACACCCTGTATAGATTTTAAGCTACCAAGAAGAGAGCATTTATTTTTGCCGGATGCATATACTTCGATCCTGTGAGCTTACATCACGCACACGCACTTCCACTAAGGACTCCCACTCTAATAGTTTGATTAATTAATTTGTATATATATTTCTTTAGAGTAACTCATTTTTGAGGGGTCAGATTTTTTAACTGCCAACGCGTTTTAGAGATTAGAAGCTCTTTCATTTTTTCTCTTCATAAAACATAAAATTCTAAAATTTATCGTGGTGCGGGAACAGCTCGCTAAAAAAGTATTTCGAAATCAGGTGAGAAGTCTGAAAGGAGTAAAACGTCGTATCGCCTAAGAACAAAGCCCCCATTTTCTGAAGACTCTAAACGGTAGTGATGAGAACCATTTGATTTTCCGCGCGAATTTTTAGTTTTCCTATGTAAATGGCAAGTACTCAATGTGGCTAGAGTCTCAATTCTAAAAAAAAAAAATAAGAGGAAGTTATGCATCATTTTGCTCGATAATTAGTGCTTTTACTGGAATGTGGTTTCAGAGATTCCATATCTTTAAATAACCAATTAGAGTAAAAATATATGAAAGATACAAGAGAATTAGCATAAGAGTGTTCCACTTCTTTATATGGTAATAAATCTAACCTACCACTAACATTATTACACAAAAATCTAAATCAGTCCTCTTTCCGTTAAACTAGTTTACCCCTGCAGTCAAAAAAATAAATAGAGGAAGCCTAGATTTTTTGGGGGGGATATCTCCCAAGTTTGACCATTAACTACGTCGCCATAAGTAAAGATATAGGTTAAAGATTACCACAACTGTATTATATAAAGTTGAAAATTTCTTATGATCTGGGTTGTATTGCAATCGGAGTCATCATGGCAACGTAACAAAGAAATCGCTTAAGGGAGTTTGTACCTGCCATAATTGCCTCAATTATGTCTTATTACACCTTACCGAAAAAGAATTATTGAAATGAATGAAAAGACTGACTACACCTATTTTAGCGAGCATATTTATAAACGATAGTAGCCTTCCTAATAACTTGAATAAAACTAAGGTATAAGATCCAGACACTAGTTGTACAAGAACTATTTAAAGTTAATCTCGATTCTTGTGTTTTATTTTCATTACGTTTTACCTTAAGTTCTTCTCTTAGCTGTTATAGAGCTAAAAAATGTAAGCGTCACCGAGGCGTCCTATGACTATCCATAGCCGTTTTACCGTGCGGAAACTTTTTCTTGCTCCTGAACGTTTGCTGATCACTACTGAAAAAGGAGAAAACGGAATAAAAACCGTCTGTAATTTTTGACACCAATAAATAAACTGTTGACTTTTTTGGATACAACGGTTTTAGATGGCGGCAAGACGTGCACTTAAAGCTGTTGTAGACCTTTTTAATGAATAACAACCTACCTCTCTGTCTACTGTCTAGCCCTTGTTACACGAGAGACAGATTAATTCATTTAAACTTGATATTTAGGTCTCTTTTGCTCAATTGTGTGCTAGATATGTAATGGTTTCAGTGGACCTTGTATTTGGTCCGTACAACTCTTCGTATTGTTTGAGCGAACTGTTTTTTTAATAGCCAAACTCCGAAAATAACCCGTTTGTTCCGTTTTCTCACTTTCTCAGAAAGTCAATCAGTATGAACTAACAATATTGCTTGACGCATAATAACTTGCGTCACAATCCTGGTCGCAGTAAAATTCTCCAAGAATTTCGATAGTCAATAATAACTGTAATCATAACAGAATGTTAATCAGTCTGTATATTATAGAAAAAGGTAACAGAAACGGAGTATTGGACGCGCACATAAATCGCAGATAGTGTGTACGTGGCTTGGAGAGAAAGCAGGCGAGCACGATTGAAAGGGACCGTCTGATTCCCCTTAATGAAGTCGAGGCTAAGTGCTTTTTCTAATCAAACTCGTAGATAATAGTTTTCAGCAAAAACTATTCTGACTACCAACATGTTTATTGACACAAGACAAGAAGTCATAAGCATATCAATATAAAATTAAAAAAATGTCTATTTTATTGTTGTACATTGTATTAATTAATTTGTATATGGATTTGTTTACAGCAACTCATTTTTGAGGGGTCAGACGAACCAACGCGTTTTACTAGGGGTTAGATGCTGTTTCATTTTTTCTCTACAATAAAACATAAATCTTTAGTATATACACACTCAGTGATCTTGGTGATTTAAGCAATCTGATTGGTTCGCTATCTCGGACTATTCAACAATATTCACCTCCTAGCGAGTGGATAATGTGTGAGCTCGGTGTTTTTCCCGTTTTTTTCAGAGAACGATCTTTTAAAAGTCGACAAAATCCTAGGGCTGACTTTTTTTAAGGCAAGAAAAGACTTGGAAGGATTCAATACGGCGTTTTTCAATTTACTGTAGCAGGAGTTTTGTGCTCGATGGATTGTTTACAACTCCCGTGTATTCGCGTAAAAGAAGCCGTTTCGTGAACTCAGCGTTTTCTAAGAAGAAAATTTTGGCTCAAAAATCGAAGTTTATTTATGACAAACAAATTTAAAAGGAAATGTTTGCAGAAATTCTACATTTCAAGTAAACAGGAAAAAGAATGATACAGGAAGACGACCTCTTACCTCGAGCAACCGAGCCGCCATTTTTGTCAGCACTTCATGCGAAGAACGACACAACATGCCCTTTTGGCTATAAACTTGGCGAGTCAACAGAAAACAATACAGCTCTACTTTTTTTCTCAGGTAAGGAAACAATTCAAACTTTTAGCGATTCCATTGAAGCCATTACGCTGTTGTTTGCGAAATGAGTAAACTTGTGAATTGCCATGTTTGAAAATTCTGCAAAGATCTATTTTTAAACTTACGCGTGATTTGATCTGTCAATCAAATCCTACTTTTGAATGGTTTCCTTTCTGATTTTGTTGAGATCACTTCGTGTGTATATACTAAAACAATTATTCTTCTCAATCTCGGTGAATAGTGGCTTTGGGAATATTTACCTCGCCGCTTTCGCGGCTCGGTAAATATTTTGCCACTATTCACCTCGATTTCAAAGAATAATTGTTAAATGAATTAATTTAAGAGCAGTTGTCTGTAAGATTCGAGCTATATTAAAAAGGCGCTGCCACACTATCTCACCGAATTGGCTAAAAATTGGCATGTAGACTTGATTTGAGGTCTTTAATAAGGAATAGGTAACTTTAGGTTCTAATTCCTCCTACTTCGAAAATTATCGACATGGCCGGTTTTTGGGTGCCTCGGACCGGCGCCATATTGGTTAATAGAAGCTGCTTTTAAGCCTTCGACTACAAGCCTGTCTTCAAAGCTAATCTTCCTTTGCCAATACAGATTGAAAGAACAATCCCTCTTAATTGTATTTTTAGAAACTACTTCGAAATTGATAACGTTTTCGCAACGATCGATTAAACTTTTGGTGGGTATACTTTTTGAATTTTTTACACCCGCAAAATTAACAGAATTTTAAAGGCGTATATCTCTTTTGCCACATCGCATTGAAGCTTGCCAATCTGCCTGAATACTCACTGTTTGTAGTTAAATCGAGTTCATTAATAAAAAAATTGGGCAAATTTAACGGAGCAGAAACAAAAGTAATGAATGGAAGACTGTTCTAGCGACTTTGTCAATAATCTGTACACCGAATACTCGCCAGGTGTTGCCAAAATTACAATCGATAATAGAGTTTCTGTCATTAAATCTGAGTGATCTGTGTAATAAAATTAGCCTCTGTAATATAATCGATAACTCTGCTGCGAAAAACAGTATAAAAAAAGGCAGATTGTATAAGGAAAAGGAAAATGAATTTGTTATGTTTATGCTATGACGCGTAAACAAAATTCAACCATCACAGTCGAACTGGAATTTTCCTGATTTTCCTCCAGTTCCTTTACCGAAACCAGAGCTTTTAAAATTAACCATAGTAATGAAAATTGAGATGTATTACCTTACTCGACGACAAAGTTGCCAGTTTCCACCTTGATCGAAAAAAAGTAATATTTTCCCACGCATATCGCGGGTCGTCACGTTCCTTGCCTGGCGTTACAACTCACGTTAAACCGTCTGGTTTCAAACAACTGAACTGAAGAATCCGTGAAAATCTTAGCCAGGCAATAAATAATGGAAGTTGATATAAGTTATCATTATTAGTGAGCGAGGATCGATGCGATGATAGTTCCAGCTACATGTGTTTACAGCGTTTGAAGATTTACTCAAAACTCATGAGACATGAGCCCTTGAAATAAACATCATTACTTCCGGTTTTAAAAATTGGGCGTTGGCAAAGTAATGAATAGACTCATTCTACCTTGTACAACGTTAACAACGGTTCCGTGTACAATTTTCAGGTATTTTGTCTCAATCACGAAGCCCGTTTTGAGGAGATTCTTGATAAACAGAAAAATTGGTTTGGAAGGGGTTAAGAAGAATGAGGGATGAGCCCCGGACAGCAAAAACCACAGTCACCCCACCGAAGGGCTTTAAAACTGTGCGCAAATGCCTCACCCTAGGGACAATTCCAGATTTTTGTTTCCTTGAAAAAGCTTAAAATCGCTAGACAATGCATGGACAACTCAAGACAGTCCTAATTCAAAATAAAGTAAACAGCAAAGAAAATTCAGTTGGAGACCAGAGTGTTTATCCGATATCGCGAACAATAAGGAGTGATTGAAGATGCGTCTGCAGTTTAAGGTAAAAACATTTACCATGCTCACGGACCTTTCGACAACATAAGTGTACCGATTGACGTAATATCGATCAGTGGTAAAAAACGAACGCTTTTTACTGTAGGACGATGACGTCATCAAACAAAAGGCGTCTTCACTCTGGCATCCAGAATTTCAAACAGTCAAAACCTAATTTTCTCTGCTCGTCAAATGAAAAACGCCTCTGAGGGCAAGTAGTGGTAATGTGCTTGTTAGTAAGACGTCCAACATAAGGATACATTCATAATCAACTCGGTTAATGCATATTTAAAGGGAAACTTTCTCCTTTACCCTTAGGGACAGAGTTCAAAGGCGCAAAAGATTTTTAGTTCAGCTCTAGCATGTGTTGTCTAGCGATTTGCCTTGAGCTTCTCTAAATTTTCCAGATCAAACAAGCTGTGCCCATCGTACATAATCTTGTCTGGGCTCCCTTGAAAAATTGCAATTCATCAGATGCCTTCAAGTTCATCCTCCGCCGCGACAACTTCGTGATCTATTTTAATGGGTGGTTTTCTGGAATTATCCTATGGCTTGTCCTTTCTGGTCGTCACTATATTAGCGAACATGTTTCAGTTCTCTCCAGCAAAAGTCTCTATCAGTAGCGTAGCCAGGACTTTCCAGGTGTGCGGAAAATTTCCAAAACTTACCCTAACATCTTACTCAGTTCTCTCGCAACGTTTCCCCACTACATTTGCTAATTCTGTTAACTAGGTGAGGTTATGCGTGGATGAAATGGCACTTGCAATCGGTGAGAAAATTAGGTTAGACACTTTACCCTCAAGGACGACTCTCACGTTTTGCTGACACTTTCTACCTTAGAAGAGATAAGTGAAGCTTTGCCTTCCCCACTCCGTGTAAAAAAATGTCGTTCGGCTGTTCAAACTACTTTTAGAAAACAACAAACTTCCCAACTTTAATTTTTAATAAAGGTATAAGGGTAGGAATCCAAATTGTTTTGGAGTATTTCACTGATTTTAACACGATGATTGTAAAGTAGTGTCTAGTGAGTACGGGGGCTAATGCCCCATCGTAAAAATCTGAAATTGAAAACAAAAATCTTGTATAACCGAGTAGTACACAATTTTAGTTATTTTATTGAGTTGTGAAAAATCACAAATTTGTTTCTTCTTGAATGTGTTATACTCTCATCCATTCAGTCTTTCCGATATGCCCGTCGGATAGCGGAAGTTAACGTAAATGATCGATTACCTGAAAAGAAGCTACCATCCTAACTTTCCACCTTTGGGTCTTTTCCCTAGCCATAATTTTTTTCCCTCAAGGAATTTTTCTCTGTTTTACATAATAATTGGTCTTGCATTCAGCTTATCGATTTTGAGAGCCTAGTCCTATGCCGTATTCTGATGCGATCTACTTTATGTAGCTTTCCCCCCATCTAAAAGCTCCCTACTGGACAAAAACGGCTTTAATTGAGTCTATTCAAAGAACTAGCCAATATTTTTCCAGCGGTAAGCACAATGTTCCTAATTCCCCCTAGTCCCCTTCTTAGACGCTTTCATGTGCATCAGGTGTTAAATTTTCTTTTCATAAGCTACAATGCTCATAATCGCGCATTCTGATGTCATTTATGCTTAAAAAATTAAAAATTAGTTTATCGAAGAAAGAGTGAATTAAAGGTGTCATGAGGCGTTTGTGATTTCATGAACTATTTGACGCGGTCCTTTTCTTACGGCTTATGTCCGTTGGTGAAATCGCTACTTGGGTTTTCTTGGATTGAAAAGGGCGGGCTCTTTCTAAACGTGGCGTTGTTTATGGGACCTTAGTATTCAGAACAGAATCAGTCGATGGCAAACAACGAAAAGGCTTTTATGTGGTAAGTTACAGTGATGAAACTTGCCTCGAGATGGTCATATTTTTGTACATACCTTCATGCAATTCAGTGTTGGTCTGAAAATTTTTTGTTATGGATGGGGGAAGGGTGGGGGGGGGGGAGATCAGAACATGTACCTCGTGTTGTTTACGAGACATTAAAGTAATGAAAACTGTTAAACAGTCTTCTACAAATCAAAATAGTTTCAAATGCTTAAGGGAGGCCCTAACTATATGATGATAAGAAGGGCTATATTTGGAAAGGTGCATGGTCGTGGAGTTAAGGAGATTTGACTAATCAACCAATTTCCCGCTAAACATAAGGGCGTGGCCAGTGGCCCCCAAATTGTGTTCGCTCGCCCCGGGCTGGCTCTACTTTTGGGATACGGTTATGGGGTTATAAACAATGAGTTCATCATCTATATAGCCTACCCGCCCCAAGTGACTGCATTTCGCTTTTCAGAGACCCATCAGTTACTGTATGACCCTCTCCGATCAGATTTTATGTCCGTGGTACTGGTGGTGAGGTTAGTCTACAAGCAGAGTCGTGAAAAACACCGCTACTTGAGCCTTTACGTTCAAAACATTCCTGGCTATCGGGAAAAAAAAGAAGGAGCTATTAAAAATACTAAATAAAATGTCATTTCAAATATCACTTTGTCACCGTTCGAAAATTATTGTGAATCAGACCGAATGAAAGTTCACTCAAAGAGGGGGAGGGGGGAGGGGCGTTGGTAGTTCTTAACAGTTCCAGTTAGCTAGAAAATTAAAAGTTACCAAAAAATAGTGGGCGAACTGCAGAATACATGCAAGAATGAGAAAGAAAATAGAAAACAACTTCCTGTTCAAATTCGGGTGAAACGTTTAATAGCGTCAAGAAGACTGAACTTGATTGAGGTTGTTCATTTCAGTTGCGTTCCAGCGTGCAGTTCCTTGTCCTCCTAAAAATAGCTTCGTCTCCCACCGATCATTCCATGTCATATTTTGCGGACTTATTATTCAGTAATGACGGTACGATCAGGTAATTTGACTTGATGAGTTCTTTAATTTCATTTCATGTACTAGTTTTATATCTTACCCTGGAAAGATCTGCCAAACAGTGTACATTAGCAAAGGTAGGTTCCTGTTTACACGTGTAATTATCGAATACCATACAATTTGCATAAAGCTACAGTGCACGGTTGGTTTTTCTAGCCTTTTGATTAAAATTGACAACGTTTGCGTTATCTTTGCCTAAGAAAATATGTAATTTGTAGCTGTATACAGCGAAATACTACAGAGAAAATTGTAACTGTGCAGTACACGAGCGGCTCCCGATTGGTCTGGGAAATCGAAGAGCGAACTTGAGCTAGTACCGTGTGTAACAAAATTTATAATTTTCATTTTAGCGCATATTTCAAGCTCTTCGCAAGATCAGAATCAAAAGATCATCTGTTTACATTTCAAGGGAGGGTTTTTTAAGCGATACATAGGGTTTAAGAGGCACGATCAATTTTTAAAGAATTTTCTTTTCAAATATTCACCGAATTTTGTTTTGAAGTTTTAGCGGCCAAGTGGCTGAACCACTGCGCATTCATGCAATCATACTTCTGTTCCGTTGCATTTGCCCAATTATTTTATTCAACAATCTAACTTAGCTATAAACAAACTATGTTTAGTTAAAATGGCTTAGTCTAAATCGATGTGGCATGGGTGATATTGGCCTTCCAATTTCTACCAAATTTGTGTACCGTTTAAGTACCGAAAAAGTGCTGTGAGAAGTTATAGCCGTTCGTAGCTCAGGCTTAACCATTTTCAGATAAGAGTACGTAAATGAAAGGAGGAAGGATAGTTCTTTGCAACTGTATGAGTCACGATTAAGTTATTTCAATGATAAGGCTAGAATTAATTACTGTAAATCTCCTTCAGTTCACCAACATGGCGGACGCTCGAGGCCTCGTCAAAACTGTCATTCCTGTATCTTTGAAACCAACGAGAATTCGAACCTTAGAATATGCATTCAGTATTTAGGACACCATTCTAAGACTACATGCCAAAAATCAGCCAAATCGATGAGGTACCGTGTCAGGCCGAAGTTCGAATTTTACAGAAAATCACTCTTAAACTAATCGTGGTGCGAGAACAACTCGCTACAAAGTATATCGAAATCAGATGAGAAGTCTGAAAGGAGTAAAAAGTTGCATAGCCTAAGAACAAAGTCCACGTTTTCTGAAGATTCTAAAAGGTAACGGTGAGAACCATTTGATTTTTCGGGCAGAAATTCCAGTTTTCTTATGTAAACTGTAAGTACTTTGCAGCGTTTCTGCTTATAGTTTGTGTGGCTATAGTCTCAATTCGAAAAAAAAAAAATAACAGAAAGTTCTGCATCATTTTGTTTGATAATTTGTCACCGGAGACTGTTTTTGCTGTGGATTTTGGTTTCAGAGATTCTCATCCTCGGAGACCTAGGCCGGGGCAATAAGTCGGGACGATAGAATGTTCGTGGTGAACGTGTTACAGTAAACTTTCACCACGAACATTCTATCGTCTCGACTACCCCTTGGTCTCTGAGAGTGAGAGATTCCATATGTGTAAATAGCGAAACTAGATTAAAAATAATGAAAGATAGAACAGAATTACCGAAGAGTGTTCCACTTGTTTATATACCAATATTATCTAACCTACCACTAACATTATTACATACAAACCTAAATTTCTGTTTCCATTAAACTAGCTACCTCCACTGTCAAAAAAAAGGAATCGAGGAAACCTTACCACGTGATGGCCTATGGATAGGACCCCATTAAGTTAAATAGGGAAAGGAAAAAAATAGTTCTTAGAGAACGAAAAACAAAAGAATAAAATGCTACAGATCTGACAGATAGTGATATTTCATATGGTATTATAAGTGATATTTTGATGTTGCACCTATTTTATTCGGTTCAGTATTTTTCCTTTTCTAACTAATACAAGATATTGTCATTTGTTAATTGATGGCATGTCTTTAGTACATTTTGAAGGAAAAACATATACAAATTATCGGCCCCTTCAGTGTTTGAATAACATCTCATGTAGAATGAATCTAAACCGCCTTAGGGTGCCTTGAGTGATACATGCTATTTCAGAAAGAAAATGAATGGAAAGGATGTTATAAAGTGTCATAAGGGTGGCTTTTGGAGCGAGCCACTTAAACGGATTTCCGTCTATGAGTACTGTATTTCACCTAGGGATGTAGATGTTGTGCGTCATCATGAGACAGTTCTTTATATTCAAGTGATTTTCGAAAAAGGCAGTAAGCGAAGCGTTTAGTTGTTTGTATTGATAGGCTTTGTACATTGAGAAGAGTTAATTTGCGGTAGATAATAAATATGAGATAAGAGATCTTGCGAACCACAAAATGTCCACAATATCACAGACTCGAAACTGAAAGGGTAATGAACCATTACGGAATAAATGAACTACTACCGAGACTGAGATCAGGAAATTATAAAAGTTGGTGGTTTCAAAAATATAGTTATGTGTTAAATGGTATTACTTCTTGCTGACTTGAGGCAGTTTGTCATTATTTTTCTTCCTTTTTCTTTCTTGAATCACACCAACTGTAATCTGGAGCTGACAAAGGAAAAACACAAACGAGACAAAACAAACAACAAAACAGCAAAATTACAAGAAAAGCCACTTGTACGAACCGAGCGATTAAGAACCTGTATGCTTACATGTTCCCATTGAAATTCTTATTAAACTAAATCTTGTTAGTGTGAGACTGTGAAAAACTGTAACCACTAAAAATAGACCTGGATGTTACTGTGTTGTAGGGAAATAGCCAACGAAGCGTGAGAAAACTAAACTGCAAGCAGGAACTGTGATTACTTCAGTGTCGTTTGCAGTCTGCTTCTGAGTCCTTAGCTCCATTTGAATTGGACAAAACCCTGAGAACATGAAGGCCTTGCATCTATATAATATTCTCTTGCCAATATACAATCAACAAGCTTCAAATATTTCAGGTTTCCATGACTTTTTTTGTTTGTTAGTGTTGAGGAAAGATTCATTATCCAGAATATAATGAAATTGATGTTCACATTCCAACTGTATGCGTGGCACACTGAGACCATGTGACCTGATCGGGCATCAATTGGTGTTTCAAAGAGATTTTATCTTATCGAAGAAGAATTATTTTAAATGAATCTAAAGACTGACCACGTCTACTTAAATGAACATTTTTATGATAATTAAATAACAGTTGATATGAAACTTTAAAAAGCCCTTGTAGAACTCTTCAAAGAATACGGGTGTTACGAAAGCTAAGACCCTCGAAAACTAAGACCCCCTAAAATCGAATCCGTCGAAATATAAAGTCAAATTGCAACCGAAATTGGTCTGATTTGTCAAATTATATCATGTTCGATCCTTTCCACCGAGTTTTAGGTCAAATTTAACGGTAAATTTAGGGGTCTTAGTTTTCGTAATTACGAAAACTAAGACCCGCACCAAAACAATCTCTAAAATTTCTACAAAGTCGAATTACTTATATATACACCCGAATTACGACCGTTTGAAGACCATAGTCCGTAAGACAAACAAAAACTACTATCATACGCGTGCTAGACGATCCGCTTCTTCTAACAATTTGCAGACATACATTATCAATATTGTGGCTTTAAGAAGAGGATGAAAGCTATATATTACCTACGTATAATTGTACACTGAAAATATGCCTTACCCCTATAATTTTGGTTTTTTATCCTTAAAGTCATAAAATTGGTTTTCCACTGGAGATGGATTTTTGTCTTCGTTGCGGGCTGACATGTCGCTCCGACCTGAATGGCTAATCGCTAAGTGGTCAACGGCGTTATCGGTTAAACATCACACAAAAATACGGATTTTTTTTTTCCTTTTCTGGCCAGGTCATAGACAGAAAATTGCTTTTATAAAAAGGGCGAGAAATGGAGAATATGCTACATTGCGTTTTTCTAGCGTTTGTTTTTATCGTTGCCACCCCGGAGATCACGGGGTTACAATGCAAAGGTAGTTGAGGGGTAGGGGTGGGGGGCAAGGAGAAATAGTCTGTGAGGGATAATCGCTAAAATCACTCATGAAATAATTAAAAAAAAACGAATGAGTGAATGAATTTCCTCTACTAGCAAAGCATCGTCTCGAGAATTGGAGTTCTAATTTCAGAACAATAAAATAAACACGACAACCGCTCGACACAGACCCCCTCAGGTGATAGTTACAGGTAACGCAATCTCGATAGCAGAGACACGAAGGGAAACATCCATCTCCAGTGGAAAGCCAATTTCATGATTTAAAGGATAAACGACAAAATTAAAGACCAATAGGGGTAAGGCATATTTTCAGTGTACAATAGATACTTAGGAAGTCTACGGCTTTGGTCCTCTTTTTAAAGCGAGTCTTCAAATTATTAGCGGATCGTAGATAGCACGCGTATGATAGTAGTTTTCGTTTGTCTCACGGATTATAGTCTTCAAACGGTCGTAATTCGACTTTGTATAAATTTTAGAGATTGTTTTGGTGGGGGTGTTAGTTTTCGTAATTACGAAAACTAAGACCCCTAAATTTACCGTTAAATTTGACCTAAAACTCGGTGGAAAGGATCGAACATGATATAATTTGACAGATCAGACCTATTTCGGTCACAATTTGACTTTATATTTCGACGGATTCGATTTGTGTGCGTGTTCTAAGTTCACTGAATCGAAGTATATGCATCCGGCCAAAATAATTGCGCTCTTCTTAGTGGTTTCATGATCAAATTTTTTACTATTGGAACAGTAATTTATCTCAGAGTGTAACTCTTCAAGAGTTTCCTTTTCATTCGAATACTAAAAACGCGTCCTTTACTCCATTAATAACTTGTTTCAGTAAGTTTAATATGCAAGTGATACCCGCAATAGAGTGACTAACCTTCTTAAACAATAAAATGAAGCTTTCTTTGAATCCAGATAATCGTGTTATGACTCCTAGTCGTGTCATCAATCAGCATATTGAGAATAAGAACTAGGAATGTTAGTAACAGGTCAGAATAGTACTTGCTGAAAACTACTATCCACGAGTTTGATGAAGAAAGTACTCCGTCTCGACTTCATTAAGGGGAATAAGAAGGACCTTTTTTTCCTTTGTGCTCGCGTTTCCTTTCTCCAGACCCAAATAAAATCTAAACTGATTATAACTCAAGAACCTTGTGTTCAGCGGCACATACCAGGGAGTCCGGGAAAGGACGACTATTTCATTTTGTTCCAAGATGTTAGATCTAACGAATAGCCAAGTTATGATAATCTACAGTTACTATAATTACAGTTATTATTGACTGTCGGAATTATTGGAGAATATCATTGCAAGGAAAGTTATTATGCAACGCAAAATATTGTTTATCAATATTGACTCCTTGAGAAAATGAGAAAACCAAAGAAACAGGTTATTTTCTGAGTTCAACTACTAAAAAGAAGAAGAGCTTGAGCAAACAACATGTGTTGTTTGGTGTTATAAAGATTTCGGAGTAAAGATAAATTCAAGCCAAAGGAAGTTTGTGGTACCAGTAAGGAAGTAATTGTTCTGCGGTACTGGTTAACGATATTGCACACTTGATTATGCGATAATTGTACTGAATAAATACAAAGTCCACGGAAAACAGCATAACTTCACATACATATCTGGCAAATTGTTGGACCAAAGAGAACTCAACATTAAATTTGCTGAATCAATCTGTCTGTTGTGTTATAAGGACTAAGCAAGTATGTGGAGAAGTAGGGTAGTATTCTTTGAAGAGCTCTATAAGGGCTTTTTAAAGTTTCATATCAACACTTATCGTTACTAACAAGAAAAAAAAGTAATGAAAACCTGAAATATTCGAAGCTTGTTGATTGTATATTGGCAAGAGAACATTATATAGATGCAAGGCCTTCATGTTCTCAGGGTTTTGTCCAATTCAAATGGAGCTAAGGACTCAGAAGCAGACTGCAAACGACACTGAAGTAATCACAGTTCCTGCTTGCAGTTTAGTTTTCTCACGCTTCGTTGGCTATTTCCCTACAACACAGTAACATCCAGGTCTATTTTTAGTGGTTACAGTTTTTCACAGTCTCACACTAACAAGATTTAGTTTAATAAGAATTTCAATGGGAACATGTAAGCATACAGGTTCTTAATCGCTCGGTTCGTACAAGTGGCTTTTCTTGTAATTTTGGGTAACAGTGCTTGCGTAAATTGAAATGTAGATATGCTTGACGCAGTTGTAATAGCAATTTAAGAAATTGGAAAACCCAAAAATTTCGGGGCTTCAACCGGATTAGAGCTTTGTTAACGCTGCAGTACTCTTCCACTGAGCTATGAAGACCCACACATCGGGGGCAGGCAACTGATTGGCTGAGTTCATTTTCCCCCGCTGAAAGGAATGAAACTGTGACGGTCATACCTTCACTTAAATTCTTATATCTACAGTTTACATCATCTTCATTTTACTGTTTACGTAGTTGGTCTGGTTTAAACAGGCAGTCCAATAATAAAGAGGCAACGAACTTGTTAACTTTGCCAACCTATTCTCAACAACTCTTTTAAAAAGCCTCTTGTTAAAGTTGTGTTTTCTTTGTTTTAATTACTTGCTTATAGCCAGAAACTATGTGAATTATATTGAAAGAAAAATTTAAAAGGAAATACTATAACCAAGATGTCGATGACTAAAGGTAAATCGAAAACGCAACTACTGTAAGGAGGACAAAGGTCTTCTGCTTTGTAGCAAGAACCCAAGCCACAAGAACGAACAGAGGATGAGGGACGAGGGTATTAACCAGTGAGTGGAGTGCGTCGATAATATCTCCATTTCAACTTACGTAAACAGTGTTAGGCAAAACTACAACAAAGGCCACTTGGTCTAACCTAGTCTTAAGAACCTGTACGCTTAGATGTGCGCATTGAAATTCCTATTAAACGAAAGCCTGTTACTGTGAGACTGTGAAAAACTGTAACCACTAATAAAGTTGGATGTTACTGTGTTGCAAGGAAATAGTCAATGAAGCGTGAGTAAACTAAACTGCAAGCAGGAACGGTAACTCTTTAAGTGTGGTTTGCAGTCTGCTCCCGAGTCCTTACCTCCATTCGAATCGGCCAACGCCATGAGAACATAAGAGCCTCGTACCTTATGTTCTCTTGCTAACACACAATCAAGATGAATTGAACCATTCGCCTCCAAAACCAGAATTTCTTGCTCCTGAACGTTTGCTGATCACTACTGAAAAAGGAGAAAACGGAATAAAAACCGTCTGTAATTTTTGACACCAATAAATAAACTGTTGACTTTTTTTGGATATAACGGTTTTGATGGGGGCAAGACATGCACTTAAAGCTGTTGTAGTCCCCTTTAAAGAATAACAACCTACTTCTCTGTCTACTATCTAGTCCTTGTTACACAAGAGACAGATTAATTCACTTAAACTTGATATTTAGGTCTCTTTTGCTCAACTGTTTGCTAGATATGTGCTGTTTTCCGTGGACCTTGTATTTGTTCTGTACAACTATTCGTGTTGTTTGAGCGAACTGTTTTTTTAATAGCCAAACTCCGAAAATAAAACGTTTATTCCGTTTTCTCACTTTGTCAGAAAGTCGACTCAGCATGAACTAACGGTATTGCTTGACGCATAATAACTTACGTCACAATAAAATTCTCCAAGAATTTCGATAGTCGATAATAACTGTAATGATAACAGAATGTTAATCAGTCTGTATATCGTAAAAAAAGGTAACAGAAACGGAGTATTGGACGCGCACATAAATCGCAGATAGTGTGTACGTGGCTTGGAGAGAAAGAGGGCGAGCGCAATTGAAAGGGACGGTCTAATTCCCCTTAATGAAGTCGAGGCTAAGTGCTTTTTCTAATCAAACTCGTGGATAATGGTTTTCAGCAAAAACTATTCTGACATGTTTATTGACACAAGACTAGAAGTCATGAGGATATTTATCTGAAGTCAAAGAAATATCTATTTTATTGTATTGTGGCCGCGTTTAGTGACTGTATTGGGGATATCACTTGCATATTAACCTGACTGAAGAGTTTCGATACTGAAATAAAGGATGCGTTTGAAGTAACTGATCAAAAAAGAGCTCTTGATAAGTCGCTATGGTGATGTAGATGTCCAATACTATAGATTTTGTTAATGAGAAGCTACCAAGAAGAGAGCATTCATTTTGGCCGGATGCATATACTTCGATCCTGTCAGAGCGGTTAGATCACGCAGACAGGTGCTTTCATAAAGAACATCCACTCTAATAATTTGTTTAATTAAACAACTCAGCAACTCAGCAACAGCAGCAACTCATTTTTGAGGGGTCAGACGAACCAACGCGTTTTACTAGCGGTTAGATGCATATGCTGTTTCATTTTTTCCCTTCAATAAAACATAAATCTATAAAACTAATCGTAGTGCAAGAACAACTCGCTACAAAGTATATCGAAATCAGATGAGAAGTCTGAAAGGAGTAAAAAGTTGGATCGCCTAAGAACAAAGTCCACGTTTTCTGAAGATTCTAAAAGGTAACGGTGAGAACCATTTGACTTTCCGGGCAGAAATTCCAGTCTTCCTATGTAAATTGTAAGTACTCAATATTTTCAGCGTTTCTGCCTATAGTTTGTGTGGCTATAGTCTCAATTCGAAAAAAAAAAAAAAAATAACGGAAAGTTCTGCATCATTTTGTTTGATAATTTGTCACCGGAGATTGTTTTTACTGTGGATTTTGGTTTCAGAGATTCTCAGCCTCGAAGACCTAGGGGCAATAAGTCGGGACGATAGAATGTTCGTGGTGAAAGTTTTACGGTAAACTTTCACCACGAACATTCTATCGTCCCGACTAACTTCCCCTGGGTCTCCGAGGATGAGAGATTCCTTATGTTTAAATTGCGCAACTAGATTAAAAATAATGAAAGATATAACAGAATTAGCCGAAGAGTGTTCCACTTGTTTATATGCCAATATTATCTAACCTACCACTAACATTAATATATAGATTTAGCCAGGGCTAAAAGCGAAGCTCCCATTAATAAATTTATATTTTAAATCAAACAAGAAACTTGTAATCCACAAATCAGTTAACTTAAGGGCACATTCATGTGACTTTTGAGGGAAAGGATAAGTTATTTTAGAGTGAAACATCTTACATCGAGTTGATAGCTTAAATATATGTACACCCAAAAAATAGCAAACATCTTCTACCACATTCAAGAGCCATAATTGCTCTTGATCACAGTAGATTAGGCCTCGAAAACAAATTCTTGGATAACAAATCAGGCCGCATTTTTATGCGTTCGACAGGTTTACTTTACAAATCCTTGCCAACAAATCTGAGGGTCTGTAAACCAACCTTTTATACTTTTTATACATCACATCTGAGGTGAAACAGTACTTTTTATCATACGGACCTCGGACAGAATACGGCATTTCACAATTTTTCAATGTCCAGGACGATCAATCGTGGGCTTTTAGCGAAACCGTTCAAAAAATTTCCAAAATCACCCATACGGCCAGCCGGTTCTCATTTTTAGTGCGAGCTGTCAGTGTGGTCGAGTGTTTGAATGAACTTTAATGGAGATACGCTTCAACATAATAACGAATTTATTATCATTACTTTTTGTTATTTAATGGTTCCAGTCATAACGATGTGTAATCTTATAAAGCGTTTGATACGCGCGACATTTCTAAGTACTCCTGCAAGCGATGTTCATGAACGATGAAAACAAACACCACGGACAAGCGATTAAAATTGCAAGAGAGACTACTAACAATCAATAAAAGAAATATAATTCGGTAAAACATTTACAGAGACAACAATTTTCATTCACCAAGACAAGTATTAAAGTGTTTCTAAAAATCCTGAGCCTTTAAGCTTAAAGCTTAAGCTTAAGTTTATTTTGTTTTACTTTCAGCCGGCCTCCCGGTGTTTGTTTTGTTTTTCAAAGATGAACTCCTCGAAGCAAGAAAATCACTCAAAGTTTTCTTTCTACAGCCAAATTTATAACTAAATATTCTTCGGAACGTTTTTTTTCTATTTGTCGTGAAAAAAAAATCTGAAGGCCTTTCAAAGTTCTGTAAGCTTATATCAAACCTGATATTAGATCAGATCATTGACTCAAATCTTAACAAACGTGCAAAAACTTGCCGCATAAACTGTGCTCGACTTCATGAAATTAGATATAACAAAAACGAACATCAAATACAATAATTACTCAGGCTTACCATTCGAGATTCAGTTCCTGAAAGATATCAAGGAAGGCCATAGTTGCTTGAGACTTTTAAACCCTCTTACGCATTGAGCAAGGCCGGAAAGACGAAAACAATGCCATCCGAAATCGGATTACCCAATTTTGACAAGCGACAACAAGCGACGCATTTCTCAACCAAAAACCCAATAAACAAACCAGCCATGGATAACAGAAGACTCTTGATAGCAGCTGTATTTCATTTTGTACATCCAGTGGAAAAAGACAGTTAAAAACATCACAAGTTGACACAAAACTCTGTCAGCTTTACCTGTCAAAGTAAACAACTTTCAAGATGCTGCATAAATTTTCCGCATGAACTCACCTGTCAAATTTTGGCCAATCAGAGTACAAAAATTGGACGTAGAGCGTGACCAACGCGTGACCATGGTAAGAAAAGATCTTCCCCGCCTTTATTTTTAAAAAAGTGGCTGAATTTTCGCGTCCGAGGTCAGTTTGAAATCAAAATTTTGACAGTGCGGGGGACATAGTGACATAAACACAACATATTTCATATGAATCATTGAAAAAATAGACTTGAGCCTGCGATCATTTGAAACTGGTAATTTGTCAGCGGATAACTTCAAAAAAATACTCGACCTCGATGGATCAACACTTGAGCCCGCGGTACGGTCAGGTGACACTGGTCAGCGGATATCCTGTTTTGACAGCTGTCAATTGATCACAACATTAACGTGCAATTAGTTTTCTACTGGGCTCCCAAACTAGCTAGAAAGTGTGAGAGAAAACATTGGTTTCCCTGTGGTGCGGACGGACGGTCGGGCGTACGGTCACGTGATTACCAAATTTTCTCGGATGGGTAGATTACCACATTTCCTTAGCTATGGAGCTCCGTCCACACGCGCGCTTCGCGTGCGGGTGGAGCTCCGCTATTACATACAAAGCTAAATTTCTGTTTCCATTAAACTAGCTACCTCCACTGTCAAAAAAAAAAGGAATCGAGGAAACCTTACCACGTGATTGCCTATGGATAGGGCCCCATTAAGTTAAATAGGGAAAGGAAAAAAAAATAGTTCGTAGAGAAGGAGAGAGAAAATAATAAAATGCTACGGATCTGACAGATAGTGATATTTCATATGGTATTATTAGTGATATTTTGATGTTGCACCTATTTTATTCGGTTGAGTATTTTTCCTTCTTTGATTAATACAAGGTATTGTCATTTGTTAATTGATGGCATATCTTTAGTACATTTTGAAGGAAAAACATATACAAATTATCGGCGCCTTCAGTTTTTGAATAATATCTAATAGAATGAATGTACACCGCCTTAGGGTGCCTTGAGTGATGGTGTTGTAGAAAGAAAATGAAGAGAAAGGTTGTTATAACGTGTCATAAGGGTAGCTTTTGGAGCGAGCCACTTAAACGGATTTCCGTCTATGAGTACTGTATTTCACCTGGGGATGTAGATGTTGTGCGTCATTATGGGACAGTTCTTTATGTTCAAGTGATTTTCGAAAAAGGCAGTAAGCGAGGCGTTTAGTTGTTTGTATTGATCGGCCTTGTACATTGAGAAGAGTTAATTCCTGGTAGACAATAAATATGAGATAAGAGATCTTGCGAACCACAAAATGTCCACAATATCACGGACTCGAAACTGAAAGGGTAATGAACCATTAAGGAATAAATGAACTACTACCGAGACTGTGATCAGGAAATTGAAAGTTGGTGGTTTTGAATTTAAAAATAGATGATATTACTACTTGCTGACTTACGGCGGCAGTTTTTCATTATTTTTCATTATTTTTCTTTCTTCAATCACTCTAACTGTTATTTGCAGGTAACAAAGAAAAAACAAGACAAGACAAAACAAAAGATCACACCCTCCCCAACCGTAATGCGTTAGCACGCGTGTTATTTTTGCTTGTTGCATTTTAGACGAGTAATGTGAAATATAATTTTGATAAAAATGAGTGGTAAAAAGACAATGTTTCAATGACAGCATGTTTTTATTATTAAGAAAATAGAATAGGGTCGGAGCATTATGTATGCAGAAAGGAACGCGGAAAATTACTAGATATGATAATAAAAAACGGTGTTGGCTACAAAAATGGAATCTGTAAGGGCCAGTTTATGCTAGTCACGTTCTTTTTATCAGGAGCTTATCATAAACACATGACGCAAATTTTTCATGGGATTCAAGGTAATAAATTGCTCCGAAAGATTGGATTTATATTTTGTGTCTTTTTGAGGTGAATTTTGGAAGTAACAGTTTAAGATAGACGATTATTGATACATAACTACGTTTGCTTCTAACATAACTGTGCTCCGGTGGAAAAACCTAGAACCAAAACATTGTACAACATTTAATCTAATGTACAGGCCTGGTACACAACATATTCATTCACTGTTCTAAAAACGTCTATTCACTTCTAACACAGTAACTTTAGTATTTCGTTTTCTTTCTTAAAGACCCTTGTCAATCATCCGTTTTTACCGCCAATCAATAAGAAAAAGTACCGGTAATTAGTTTGTCATAATAAGCTGCTATAGCGCTTTGAGGTACAAGTGCAATATTCTGTCCCTTATAGGATTTAACGCCATGCCGGGCGCCTCAAACATGAGACCATAATGTTTATTGTCGATGAATGCAGCAAATAAGACTGAAACATTAAAAGTCCGAAGTAAACTGATCGACGCAGTTGACTCAGCTTATTTATGGCAGTAAACTCCCTGGACTCTTAATGCGCAATGGTTAATACCCTCGTCCGTCATCCTCTGTTCCTTCTTGTGGCTTGGGTTCTTGCTACAAAGCAGAAGACCTTTGTCCACCTTACAATGGTTGCGTTTTCGATTTACCTTCAGTAATCGACATATTGGTTGTAGTATTTCCTTGTAAATTTTTCTTTCAATATAATTCACATAGTTTCTGGCTATAAGCAAGTAATTAAAACAAAGAAAACACAACTTTTACAAGAGTCTTTTTAAAAGAGTTGTTGAGAATAGGTTGGTAAAGTTAACAAGTTCGTTTCAACTTCATGATTGGACTGCCTGTTTAAACCAGACCAACTACGTAAACAGTAAAATGAAGATGATGTAAACTGTAGATATAAGAATTTAAGTGAAGGTATGATCGTCACAGTTTCATTCCTTTCACCGGGGTAAAATGAATTCAGGAAATTTGCCTGCCCCCAATGTAGGGGTCTTCAAAGCTTAGTGGAAGAGTACTGCAGCGTTAACGTAGACGCCAAAAGCTCTACCTGGCTGAAGCCCGAAATTTTCGAGTTTAGCAATGACTTAAATTGCTATTTCAACTGCGTCGAGTATATCTTCATTTCAATTTACGCAAACAGTGTTACGCAAAATTACAAGAAGGGTCACTTGTACGAACCTAGTGATTAAGAACCTGTACGCTTAGATGTGCGCATTGAAATTCTTATTAAACTAAAGCTTGTTACTGTGAGACTGTGAAAAATTGTAACCACTAATAGAGTTGGATGTTACTTTGTTGTAAGGAAATAGCCGATGAATCGTGAAAAAACTAAACTGCATGCAGGAACTGTAATTACTTCAGTGTGGTTTGTAGTCTGCCCCTGAGTCCTTACCTCCATTTGGATTGGACAACACCATGAAAACATAAACGCCTTTTGCCTAATGTTCTCTTGCCAATATACAATCAACAAGCTTCAAATATTTCAGGTTTCCATGACTTTGTTTGGTTGTTAGTAACAATAAATGTTGGGGAAAGATTCTTTATCCGAAATATAATTAAGTTGATGTTCACATTCCAACTGTATGCGTGGCCCACTGAGACCATGTGACCTGATCGGGCATCAATTGATGTTTCAAAGAGATTTTATCTTATCGAAGAAGAATTATTTGAAATAAATCTAAAGACTGACTACGCCTACTTAAATGAACGTCTTTATGATAATTAATGCAAAGAACAGTTGATATGAAACTTTAAAAAGCCCTTGTAGAGCTCTTCAAAGAATACTACCCTGCTTCTCAACCCACTGCTTGGTCCTTCTTACAAAAGAGACAGATTAATTCACCAAGTTTATTATTTAGGTCTATTTGTCTAGATATGTATGTGAAGTTATGCGGTTTTCCGTGGACTTTGTATTTATTCAGTACAATTATCGCATAATCAAGTTTGCAATATCGTTAACTAGTAGCGTAGAACAATTACTTCCTTACTGGTACCACAAACTTCCTTTGGCCTGAATTTGTCTTCGCTCCGAAACCTTTATAACACCAAATAACACGTGCTGTTTGCGCAAGCTCTTCTCCTTTTTAGTGGTTGAACTCGGAAAGTAAATCTCTTTCTTTTTTTTTCTTATTTTCTCAGAAAGTCAGAATTGACAAGCAATATTTTACGTTGCGTAATAACTTTTATTGCAGTAATATTCTCCAATAATTCCGACTGTCAATAATATGTCATAGTAACTGCAGTGACAATACGTTAATCAGTCTGTAGATTATCATAAATGGCTATTTGGCTTGTCCTTCTTATTCCCCTTAATGAAGTCAAGGCGTAATATCCTTATCAAACTCGTGGATATTAGTTTTCAGCAAATACTATTCTGACCTGTTACTAACATTACTAGTTCTTGTTCTCAATATGCTAATTGATAACACGACTATGAGTCATAAACACGATTATCTGGATTCAAAGAAAGTTAAATTTTATTGCATAAGGCGGTTAGTCACTCTATTGCGGGTATCACTTGCATATTAAACTTACTGAAACAAGTTAATAATGGAGTAAAGGACGCGTTTTTAGTATTCGAATGAAAAGGAAACTCTTAAGAGTTCCAATAGTAAAGAATTTGGTCATGAAACCACTAAGAAGAGCGCAATTATTTTGGCCGGATGCATATACTTCGATTCTGTGAGCTTAGAACACGCACACACACTTCCATAAAGGACAGCCAATTAAATAAGTTGACTAATTTTTTATATGTATTTGTTCACAGCAACTCATTTTTGCTATGTCCGACTTTTTAATTACCTCCGCTTTTTTGTGGTGAGTGGTTACATTCAATAGTCTTCAATAAAACAGTTATACCGCGTTTCGCATGTTGCTGATTCATCCTTTGATAGCTCTTGAGCACTCAAAAGGGTTATATATGACGCACTTAGTCGGTACTTCCTTGAGATGGTGACCTTTCTTTTTTTTCCGCATATTTTCACCCATACAAAATAATAAAAAAGGTGTTGTAACCCTACTGCTCGCTGCAGATCTGAAGCAGGCATGGGCGGCGTTTTTCGACCAGTCGTTCTGTTTTTTGCAGTCTTGACTGTTGCACCTGCAGTGTTCTCCGAAGAGAAACTTTCATACGATACCGTGAAGAGTAATGTCGATGAGGCGGGAGCTGAGCTCATTGAAGGAAGTTCCGATGGAGACTTTTTCAATCCCGAAAGCATCGAGGAAGATGTCAGCGAGACTGCAGCAGTAGCGAGAAGCGAAGGTAGGATAGCACTTATCTTTTATTACTTTTGCTTTAATTGGCACAAGAAAATACAAAAACGCTTCCCGCCCTCTAGTATATGGTAACATCAGTGAAACGTTGTAACTTACACACCCAAATACACAGTTTTCCTTGAAAAATAAATCATAATCCAGATTGATTTTTACAAACTCTTTTAGCAGACACTTTTTTACTTTTTCGTGTCCCTCTGGTCTGGCACAGTGTTTTGGCTTGTTTGCTTTGTTGTCTGTTTGCGTCAGTCCTTTTTTTTTGTGTTTCGTTATTACGGGTTTGTGTAGAAGCGACAGTACACCAAAAATCGAGAAAATGTTGTTTTCCCTCCTTCCCGCCCACCACCTCTTGTGAATTTTCCGTTTAGACCCAAAGATCTCTAACTAAGGGCGCTTTCAAAAAGTCAGAACTGACCGGCCGGACCTTAGCCGGACCAGTCATTTTGACAATGAAAATGCTTCCTCCCAAGAGTTTTTGTTGAAACACCATCTCCTTCGTGCATGCTATTTAGGATTTGACTGATCTGGCTGGATAGTTTTGATGAAAAGTGAAATTCTATTATGACTGGAATGGTCTGGCCGGTCAGTTCTGACAAATGGAAAGCGCCCTAACACAAGGAACAGTGAAGAAAAATCAGTGCAAGTTTTAAGTGGTCTATGTGCTGTTTAATATTTTATATTTCCTTTTTGGCCGCCTCGAGCAAAGTTTTGTGGAAGTCATCCTTTAAGCATTGGAATTGTAATTATAATGCCACGTCCAATATCTTACAGTAACTAGTTTCATTTGACGGCATAGTGATCTCAGCCTGGCGAAAAGGTAGTCATATCGTGCGCCTTGTTGAAGTTCTTGGCAGTTATTAGCAGCCTAGAAAGTGAGTTGTGAGAGTTAGATGTGTTGGGTCGGCGAGAGGAAAATCTGTGGTGAACTTTTCTCTAGTTAAAAACAGAACTGATTTGAAGGGAAACCACAACCGCTCATTTGCGAAGCCATTCTTGTTTTCCTGATCGCTTGGTAACTCTAACTAGAAGATAGAATACTTTCAAACAATTAGAAAAAGGGATTTTGCAGAAATTCTAGAAAATTTTCTGACTGCCGGGCATTGAGTTTTTTTAAGACCCTTACCGGCTGCCGGACTTATAGCCACTGCGTTTATTTTATCCTCTGCAATACAGCGTTCGCTTTATAGTCAGCACGTCTGTTTGACAGTATTGTTCACTCCTTTCCGCTCCAAGCGACAGATAAGCATCACTTAAAAATAATCCAAATTTTAACAAAAAGGCGCAGTATATTTTTTTTCACTGATTTATTGACTGTACGGTAATGTACTTCCCAAAAATGCATGAAATGAAAACTGTCACTGGCATGTGGTAAACTGTTTTACAAATACAATTTTAAGTAGTTCTATGTGTTTTTAAATACATTTCATTACCGTGACGTGCATGCGTCAGAGCGAACGCTTTGGACGTTGAAACTCAACGAGAGTTGGGGCGAGTAAAACGTTGATTCGTCAGGCTCTAAAGGCAGGCGTTTTTGACATGGCTCGCACATTAAGCAGACCCTAATGGATTTGAATGTCGTTGGCACCCATAGATGGCGTTTAGGTGTCGAAGTTGGCAAATTAAGAAACCACTTATTCGAGCACAGTTATGTTAAACACTCGAAACTCAAGCCCTTTTAACAATGGGTAAAACTCATAAAAGAAACACGACAAAGTTTCACGGCAAAACTGAAATGCTGTAATGGCAGTTAAAGAAAGAACTATTTCTCATCTTCTGGGATAGCCGCGTGGATGACAAACAATCTTTGATCTTTCATCATTATATATACACGGTAAAAAAATTCATCAGGTACAATAAATTCCATATACAATGTCTAACATCCTAAATCCTAAAAAATCCTGATCCTAATATTATTTTAACGTACAACAATACGCTACTAAAAACCTGATTTGCATAAGTGCCGTGTTTCTAAAAATTGTGATAGAGAAGGCGTTTAAATTGATTTAATGAACCAGACTCTCTAATGTTACAGGGTAAGCTGTTCCAAAGGGTCGCGCCGCTGTAAATAAAACTGTTTTTTAGGTAGTTAGTTCTTGGGAACGGAACAACTAGTTTGTTTACCGAGTCCCTCAGAGAATAGTTTGATTCATTTCGCTTTATAAATTTAGACTCGAGATATTCGGGAACCAGGCGTTTAAAGACTTTAAAACCATTCAGGCGTTCCGAATTTGACGTTGAGATTTCAAGTCCCTCCAGCTGAGTTTGTGAAACAAGGAATCGACATCTACGTCAAAGTTTGATGAAGTTATTACTCGTGCAGCACGGTTTTGTAGTTTTTGTAGGTTGTTAGGTAATGTTTTGCCACAATTACCCCAGACTAGGCCGCAGTAATCAAAGAGAGATTGAACTAATCGATTAAGCAAGAATTTTCGCTTATTGATAGTTAGTTCTGTTGATTTCAACCAATCGAATCTTTTGCTATCTTTTTTCACAAAGGAAAATTTTTGGGTTTCCATTACTTTAAGGAAGTTAGAGTCTTTCTTCATAGCACCCACGCATTGCATCTGATACTCTAAGGGTACTTATCTGCAGAGCTATTTTCTGTAGATAGGAAGTAGCCACGTTTTCTGAATACCCGTTCTTATCGTACTCATTTATCAAAGCCTTGAGCTGGTCCTAGTGGTGTTTCTGAACTTCTTCTTGAATACAGGACCAATGATCTAAGTGTTCGATTTCTTGTGTCTCTTCTTAAGAAGAATCCGTTTCGTGAGAGACTTCAGTTTTTTTGCGTAGGGTCGCTTCCTTCTCTGTCGTCGATATTCTCATTACCATGTTGAACTGGTATTTGAAAGTATTTATTGTATCCGTCACCACCTCACATTTTGTAGTTGATTCTAGGCCTTCTTTTAACTTGCAATTGGCTATAAACCCTATAGCTTGACAGATCAGACATTGATGATTTCCGTACTAGCTCCACGGTTGCAGATTTCTCTTTGGGAAATTTGTCGTCACATTTGGGAATCATTTAAGTTGGCATACAAAGGATTTGGTATAGACCTTTGGTTGATTTTTCATTGTGTTATTTTTGAAGTCAATGGGAGGAGTTGTTTGTTTTTTCCTAGCCCGGTTCAAAAACTCCGAAATGTTTTAATCAATTTGTATTTTTATCTTTTGACGTCATAAGCTATCTGTCACTGATCTTTTAATGCTTTTTATCAGTGCTAAACGCCGAAGTTTAGACTAGACTGGAAACATTACAAGATCCTCCAGGCGTCGTGGTACCTTTTCTGGCTTGAAGCACCTTTAAACTCCCATATTTGTTTCTGATGATCGCCTAATGTGTGAAACTCCAGTTACAACTTTCTTTCTTTAACTTTGTATTTATCTCTCCATATGTATGCCTAGAGCATTCCTAGGATAAGGAAACCAGTCTTTGTATGTTTTCAAACTTTCCCACCAATCAGAACGTAACTTTCAAATTTGGTTTGAATTTCGTTGTAACTAGTAATTGTTGAAGACTTAGTTAAAAATTTCGCAAGGCTTCTTGAGAGGACCTCGCTATAAAAGTATTGAATCCGTGATCTTTTTAAAACAGCTGATTGAATTTCCAAGTAGAAATTTTTCCGCCTTGGATTGTTTGGCTCTAACAAATACTTGTTAGGCAAAATGGTTACCACTAGATGTTTCATTTAAGACCAGTTTTCCACTATCTAGAAATCTTCACATCTCGACCTTTACTAAATTTGGAATCGAGCAGCTTTAGAGCGGCACTTCATTTCCAACGCCTGTGCTTGAAAGAATATAAGATAGTAAATTTTAAGCTCAGTGAAACAAAGGTGAAAATAAATTAATCAGCATGTCACGAGTGTGGAACAAAGAAAAAATCTAAGTCCCCGACAGCATTCGAACCTACCACCTCCCAAACACCGTGCTTGTTGTCAGAAATTCCTTTTGAAAGGAAAAAGAATGGAAGTTATGTACTATAGGACATATGATAGGACTGAAAATCCTAGGCCCCGTTTATTATAACAAGAAAACTTGTCTTGAGTAGAATGGTCAATCGCCGGCATATCCTAGATACCTTGGACGAGCCAACGCTTCCTACATTTCCTACAAAAACTTGATGAAAAATTTAAATGAAAAATGAAAAGTTGGCCAGGCTATCTGGGTTACTCCTTAATAGTATGGTAGGATCACTCTCCTGGCCGTGCAAACTTTTACCAATAAAAATACTTTGGCTCTTCCAGCCGGGTCAACTCCTTCAAGGCGAGTCAATCAGAGCAAACGCTCGCTGAAGTTAACTCAGCTGGGAAGATGATCCACTACCGCTGAGCGAATGTCAAGTCCAGAAACGAATGCTTTAAAAATGTTATTTCTTTCACATCACCGGTCTTACCACACTGTTTTTCTTTCATTAGAGCTCAACAACCAAAAAATCGAAAGTCCTGGAAATGAAGACCAGTCTATTCGACCAGAACAGCTAAACGAAGACCCCAGAGGTGTCCGATGTGGTTTGTTGTACTATAATCCATTGACCTATGGCTGCTGTGGCAGCAGGTACAGATACAGTAAGAAGACCCAGAAGTGCTGTTATAATCGAGTCATTTCAAAGTATTCTCGGTGTGTACCTCTCCGCAAATGTGGCTTGCTCTCCTACAACCCATTGACCCATAGTTGCTGTGGTGGGAGGTACTTGTACAACAAGAGGACCCAGAAATGCTGTAATAATCGAGTCATTTCAAAGTATTCTTCGTGCGTGGTTTACCGCAGATGTGGCTTGCTCTCCTACAACCCATTGACCCATAGTTGCTGTGGTGGGAGGTACTTGTACAACAAGAGGACCCAGAAATGCTGTAATAATCGAGTCATTTCAAAGTATTCCTCGTGTGTGCTTTACCGCAAATGTGGCTTGCTCTCCTACAACCCATTGACCCACAGTTGCTGTGGTGGGAGGTACTTGTACAACAAGAGGACCCAGAAATGCTGTAATAATCGAGTCATTTCAAAGTATTCTTCGTGCGTGGTTTACCGCAGATGTGGCTTGCTCTCCTACAACCCATTGACCCATAGTTGCTGTGGTGGGAGGTACTTGTACAACAAGAGGACCCAGAAATGCTGTAATAATCGAGTCATTTCAAAGTATTCCTCGTGTGTGCTTTACCGCAAATGTGGCTTGCTCTCCTACAACCCATTGACCCGTAGTTGCTGTGGTGGGAGGTACTTGTACAACAAGAGGACCCAGAAATGCTGTAATAATCGAGTCATTTCAAAGTATTCCTCGTGCATGGTTTACCGCAGATGTGGCTTGGTCTCTTACAACCCATTGACCCATAGTTGCTGTGGTGGGAGGTACTTGTACAACAAGAGGACCCAGAAATGCTGTAATAATCGAGTCATTTCAAAGTATTCCTCGTGTGTGCTTTACCGCAAATGTGGCTTGCTCTCCTACAACCCATTGACCCGTAGTTGCTGTGGTGGGAGGTACTTGTACAACAAGAGGACCCAGAAATGCTGTAATAATCGAGTCATTTCAAAGTATTCCTCGTGCGTGGTTTACCGCAGATGTGGCTTGGTCTCTTACAACCCATTGACCCATAGTTGCTGTGGTGGGAGGTACTTGTACAACAAGAGGACCCACAAATGCTGTTATAATCGAGTCATTTCAAAGTATTCCTCGTGTGTGCTTTACCGCAAATGTGGCTTGCTCTCCTACAACCCATTAACCCATAGTTGCTGTGGTGGGAGGTACTTGTACAACAAGAGGACCCAGAAATGCTGTAATAATCGAGTCATTTCAAAGTATTCCTCGTGTGTGCTTTACCGCAAATGTGGCTTGCTCTCCTACAACCCATTGACCCATAGTTGCTGTGGTGGGAGGTACTTGTACAACAAGAGGACCCAGAGATGCTGTTATAATCGAGTCATTTCAAAATATTCCTCGTGTGTGCTTTACCGCAAATGTGGCTTGCTCTCCTACAACCCATTGACCCGTAGTTGCTGTGGTGGGAGGTACTTGTACAACAAGAGGACCCAGAAATGCTGTAATAATCGAGTCATTTCAAAGTATTCCTCGTGTGTGCTTTACCGCAAATGTGGCTTGCTCTCCTACAACCCATTGACCCGTAGTTGCTGTGGTGGGAGGTACTTGTACAACAAGAGGACCCAGAAATGCTGTTATAATCGAGTCATTTCAAAGTATTCCTCGTGTGTGCTTTACCGCAAATGTGGCTTGCTCTCCTACAACCCATTGACCCGTAGTTGCTGTGGTGGGAGGTACTTGTACAAGAAGAGGACCCAGAAATGCTGTTATAATCGAGTCATTTCAAAGTATTCCTCGTGTGTGGTTGACCGCAAATGTGGCTTGCTCTCCTACAACCCATTGACCCGTAGTTGCTGTGGTGGGAGGTACTTGTACAGCAAGAGGACCCAGAAATGCTGTAATAATCGAGTCATTTCAAAGTATTCCTCGTGTGTGGTTTACCGCAAATGTGGCTTGCTCTCCTACAACCCATTGACCCGTAGTTGCTGTGGTGGGAGGTACTTGTACAACAAGAGGACCCAGAAATGCTGTTATAATCGAGTCATTTCAAAGTATTCCTCGTGTGTGCTTTACCGCAAATGTGGCTTGCTCTCCTACAACCCATTGACCCATAGTTGCTGTGGTGGGAGGTACTTGTACAAAAAGAGGACCCAGAGATGCTGTAATAATCGAGTCATTTCAAAGTATTCCTCGTGTGTGCTTTACCGCAAATGTGGCTTGCTCTCCTACAACCCATTGACCCATAGTTGCTGTGGTGGGAGGTACTTGTACAACAAGAGGACCCACAAATGCTGTTATAATCGAGTCATTTCAAAGTATTCCTCGTGTGTGCTTTACCGCAAATGTGGCTTGCTCTCCTACAACCCATTGACCCGTAGTTGCTGTGGTGGGAGGTACTTGTACAGCAAGAGGACCCAGAAATGCTGTAATAATCGAGTCATTTCAAAGTATTCCTCGTGTGTGGTTTACCGCAAATGTGGCTTGCTCTCCTACAACCCATTGACCCGTAGTTGCTGTGGTGGGAGGTACTTGTACAACAAGAGGACCCAGAAATGCTGTTATAATCGAGTCATTTCAAAGTATTCCTCGTGTGTGCTTTACCGCAAATGTGGCTTGCTCTCCTACAACCCATTGACCCATAGTTGCTGTGGTGGGAGGTACTTGTACAACAAGAGGACCCAGAAATGCTGTTATAATCGAGTCATTTCAAAGTATTCCTCGTGTGTGCTTTACCGCAAATGTGGCTTGCTCTCCTACAACCCATTGACCCATAGTTGCTGTGGTGGGAGGTACTTGTACAACAAGAGAACCCAGAGATGCTGTTATAATCGAGTCATTTCAAAGTATTCCTCGTGTGTGCTTTACCGCAAATGTGGCTTGCTCTCCTACAACCCATTGACCCGTAGTTGCTGTGGTGGGAGGTACTTGTACAACAAGAGGACCCAGAAATGCTGTTATAATCGAGTCATTTCAAAGTATTCCTCGTGTGTGCTTTACCGCAAATGTGGCTTGCTCTCCTACAACCCACTGACCCGTAGTTGCTGTGGTGGGAGGTACTTGTACAACAAGAGGACCCAGAAATGCTGTTATAATCGAGTCATTTCAAAGTATTCCTCGTGTGTGCTTTACCGCAAATGTGGCTTGCTCTCCTACAACCCATTGACCCGTAGTTGCTGTGGTGGGAGGTACTTGTACAACAAGAGGACCCAGAAATGCTGTTATAATCGAGTCATTTCAAAGTATTCCTCGTGTGTGCTTTACCGCAAATGTGGCTTGCTCTCCTACAACCCACTGACCCGTAGTTGCTGTGGTGGGAGGTACTTGTACAACAAGAGGACCCAGAAATGCTGTTATAATCGAGTCATTTCAAAGTATTCCTCGTGTGTGCTTTACCGCAAATGTGGCTTGCTCTCCTACAACCCATTGACCCATAGTTGCTGTGGTGGGAGGTACTTGTACAAGAAGAGGACCCAGAAATGCTGTTATAATCGAGTCATTTCAAAGTATTCCTCGTGTGTGCTTCACCGCAAATGTGGCTTGCTCTCCTACAACCCATTGACCCGTAGTTGCTGTGGTGGGAGGTACTTGTACAGCAAGAGGACCCAGAAATGCTGTAATAATCGAGTCATTTCAAAGTATTCCTCGTGTGTGGTTTACCGCAAATGTGGCTTGCTCTCCTACAACCCATTGACCCATAGTTGCTGTGGTGGGAGGTACTTGTACAACAAGAGGACCCAGAAATGCTGTTATGGCCGTGTCATCAGCTTTTACTCAACCTGCCGATTTTACGGATAATTTACTCAAACATACCTTGTCGTTAAAAGCTTAAATATCATAGGAAAAAATGCTACTGTTTTTTAGATAGGTTACTTTTTTTAGTTGGCGTAAATTTCAGAGACGTTGTAAGCTTGTGGGTGTAGCAACAGTATTTCTTGCATTTATCTGTAGTCTAAAAAAAAAAGCTGATAGGGAAGCAGTTGTCTGCTTTTAATCCATGTAAATCCTGACATGTTTAATAAAGAGTGGCAACATAACTGCTTGGCACATAGCTCTGGTCCATCAAAATCTCTCGTGTGATAGCAGCTAGGATATTTCTAAAATCTTCGTGTTTGAATCCCTAAACTCCTTTAGTGGGAAGAATAGAATATTTGTCTTACAAATTGGTACAGTAGGCAACTACCTTCTAATCAATGTTTTTGACTGAATACGAAAGCCTTTAATTTAATAAGTACGTCGAGTATGTATCGTCCGGATGAACGTAGTCCTGAATACCTGTGCGGTAGTCATTTTCAGAGTCAAAGTGAATTCTATCACGTCAGTTGATGGTATTAAACTCTGGTTATTGACCTGATTGGTCAATTAAGTCGCTATCTTAGTGGTCGTCTGTTGACGGAATCAAGCAAAACTAACTACGAGAGAACGAGTGGAGAACTGATAATTTGACAAACAATAAACGACCGTTAAACTGCTTTGACAATAGACGGATCGAAACGCACTACTTACATTACGAGCCTTCATGGCCAATAACATCACGGTTTAACTGACAGACGGCCAATAAGATCGCGACTTAATTGACCAATTATCAGGTTAATAACCAAAGTTTAATACCATCAAGTGACGTGATAGAACTCACTTTTACTCTGAAGATGACAACCGCATAGTTTGTCGAAACGTCAGTCACTGTCAACAACAACAGTCCTATTCAAGACTACGTTCACCCGGACGATCAAACTCAACCTGCTTATGAAATGACTCCTGGGACCAACCTTTCACACCTTTAATTTAAGTTGGTAAACAGCATTTTTTTCTGACAGAGTTTTAATACAAGCAAAAAGAACAAGAAAAAAATTTGAGAAAAAGCCTGTATCAATTTTCCCATTTACCTTGCCTCTTCTCCTTGTTCCTGGAAAGCTTGCCAGTCAAAAGTCCATGCGAAAGTAATACAAAAAAAGAGCACCAAATTAAAAAAAAAAAAAGCAAGGGGGAAAAAGAGATTGAGAAAGTAATCTCAAAAAAGATTTGCGAAAATAGGAAGAAAGAAAGAAAGAAAAAAAGAAAGAAGGGCATAAAATGGGGATAAACTGGATTCTCTGCCTCTGGGGAGGGGAAATTTGCAATATTGTTTTCAGTCGAGAGGAAAGGGATGAAATTTGAAATTTGTAAAATCGAGGACGGTTGCCGTGGAGACTTTGCGGGGATCAAGTGCATTTCGCAGTCTATAAATATATCGTCCTCGGAGACCCAGGGGCAGATAGTGGGGGCGAGGGAAAGTCTAAACGGGCGGAAAAATAAGGCACGAAGAAAAGTAAAGAACAGCGAGAAGAGCCCCTGGGGACAATGTCTTACCAGACCAGTTCCAAATAGTCGCCACCATTCTGGCTTCTGATTGCTGCCAGAAAACTTGTGTTTTTCTGGCACCAATCAGAAGCCAGAACGGCGGCGACCGTTTGGACTTGGTCTGGTAAGACATTGCCCCCAGGGGCTCTTCTGGCCGTTCTTTATTTTTCTTTTGTGCCATATTTGTCCGCCCGTTTAGACTTTCCATCGCCCCCACTATCTGCCCCTGGGTCTCCGAGGATGTAAATATATGAAATACCCCCGTATTTATTCGATTAACCGCCCTGGGCGCTTGTTAAATTTTTGGACCTCGATAGTGGGCGTTTATTCGAGGCTGGGCGCTTATTAAGTTTTCACCATTCTCAGCAAGTGTAGTATGTTTATTTTGCAACAAACCAATAAATGGTAACAACAAAAAGCAAAGATGTAAGAAAGAGGGGTTTCTGTAAAATACTCTGAAGAAAACTCCGTCTTCGGGAAGGTCTCTTATTATCTCTTATTGGAGTTTGTGTGGGGGAGTGGGGTGGAGGTGGGTGCTTATTCGAGGCTGGGCGCTTATTAACTTTTTCTGCCTTTAGGTTGGGCGCTTATTTGAGGAGGGCGCTAATTCGAGGTTGGCCGCTTATTCGAATAAATACGGTATAAAGTTGCAAAGGAAAAAGGGGGGAGGGGGGAGGGATACGCGTCTTTGAGCTGCATAGCCTGTGTAGTAGTCATTCCTTTTTACTTTTCCACCTGCCCTCTTTTGCTCGCGCGCTACTTCCCCTTTGGTAAAAGATAGCTGAAACAACTGCTACACAGGAAGAAGCAGCCGGATTTTTACAGCTGGCCTGGAAATCACCCTCTGCGGGACCAGTCATAATTTAAGTTGGAGGGGGGGTGGGGTGGAGGAGAAATTGTTTTTTATCCCAAATTATTTCCAGACCCCTACTCAATAGCACCCATGTTTTTTAGGTACCCCCCCTTCAATCATGTTTAAAGATTTAAGGGCCCCCCTTTCTTACATAATACCCAAATGGTAATAACAAATAACATTTTCTTTACTTTACCGTTCTTACTCACTGTCACTTCCGAATGTGCCAACTAAACCAGACTGTCAGAGAAAAGGAAAAATTGTTATCTTCCCTCCTTTGATTTAGTTCCAGGGGGAAAGAGCACAGTAAGGTATGTTGAAGTAAAGCTTCAAGCCTTAGAAGAAATAAAGGGAACACTTTTTCACATGCTGGACAATGTCAATACCGTACTTCTTGCCTTACGTAGAAGATATAGCCAAAATACTTACACTAATGCTGAAGAAGTGAGAAAGAAGAGAAGAATGAAAGAACAAAAAAGAAAGAACGAGACTAAGAAGCGGAAAGTATTGTCAAGGCAGGCTAAAGAGGTGTGTAAACTTTTGACTGGGAATGGAGAAATAGATATCACTCAAAAAGCCAGTATTCCTGTGATTGACAGTAATAACCTCAACAGAGAAGCACTTCACACAAAACTGAGAAAGAGATTTCACCTAGAGCCTCTCAAACAGCTTATAGAGCAAGGATATATCAGTGACTGTGTTATAATTGAGACAAGACAAGCCATCAAAAGGTTAGAGGCCAACAGGACTGCTTCAAGGAAGAAAGAAGATAATCAGCCAAAGCTTACTGCTTTTTATATGAGCAGTACATGCTCTAATAGCAAAAAACTTGACAGTGACACAGACAGTGAGTCCACATCAACCTCATCTACAAATAATGATGCGGGTAATGAGAGTGCATAACATGACTTTATGCATGTAATCATTTGTTGAAATGCCGATGAAATTGTTTCAGTGTTACACAATAATGGATGTTGTGTTGATGCACCTACTATTTGAGCATTAAGAGAGTGTCTCTGTAAGAGCGGTCCGGTCGATTTTCCTTGAGACACAGATTTAGCTCATTTCTCGTGTGTTGTAAGACATTCATGTACCTATACTAAAACCACAATCCGTTTGATCGGATCTCTTTATTTTTCAGAGTTTTACGGAAATTAAATTTCACTCGACCGAAGGCCTGTCGTGACACTTTTCAAGACGTTAATTTGAGGCAACTTTTCCGGACAATTTACAACAAACTACGGGACTCAGCAAAAAACAAATACCACAGCCATGTATATTAACTCTATCTTATCCATCGAGGCGACTTTCGTGAACATCACGTTTCAATCAAGCAAACAGGAAGACTTGAACGACACCTTATCGATTCGCTTAAGTCACACACGCGAAAACCGATCAAATTCAAGGTACATTTTTGAAAAAGTGAGGCGTTCTTAACTGATCCAACTAATATAGCTAGGAAGTAGGTGCCATAGAAAAGGTAACTACAGAAAAAAACTTTGCGGCCCGACCTTTACTAAAACTTTATAACTCCGTGAACTTACCTAATTTTCGGCAATCTCCAAGTTTTGCCACCATTTTGAGGTACTTGTCAACATGAAGCGTAGCAGATATAAATCGAGCAGGTAGATCTAAAACAGTCAGAAATACGTACGAAAGCATTTAAATGAACTTCACGTTCAATTCAAGGGGCAAAATTTGAAATTGTTCGTTAAACCTACCATTCCTACATCCCCATGCGACCATTTCTTCCAACAATTCAAACACTAGAACTATAGTGATCACTAGTCTTCGAATTTCCCTTGTCGATTCCACCGTAAGAAATAACATGTGCCACCCAAGCTTCGACTCGGATGTGAAGTACGAATCAAACAACATAACTGCGTCATCTTCGAGGCCATATCACGCTGGTATTTTGATTTTCTGATCGACAAGAACGGTGATCCGGAGGTGATCGCCATGTTTACCTCATAAAGGTGACCGCTGACCAGCCGCTGAGTGAAAACAGTACGCCGCGGGGTGGTGTGGGTGGCGGACTTATCGTGATAAGATATTCGAATACACGCTAAAAAAAGCTTTAGGACTCTCAGTCTAAACAGTGAAGGCATGCTTCGTGGTACAGACAACTTTTATTTTATTCTCATAACTTTTTCCTTTAAATTAAAACTGGTATTAATTAATAGAGTTATTTAAATATTTTTAACCGAGGTACCCATATGACCTTTTTGCTTGTCCTCAGTGGTATAAAATAAGTTGTCTTTTCTTCCAGAACCTTTTATTTATGCGTTGAAGCTTGGGTGGAACACTATACTTAGAAGGTTTGTTCTAAGTCATTTTTGCTGTTCCAAAGAATGGATGCAAAATCATTGCTTTATACAAAGCTGACTCTAAAATATGATTTTCCGTAACAGTAACTAATGTCATTTACGTAAGGTGTTAATAAAACTAGTAATGTACAATTTTTAGCGTTTTCCACTTATAAGCCTGACATACAATTGTCAAGTGAACTATGTTAGTTTCAGCTCATTTC